AACGGCCTGGTTCTCAACAGCTACTCAGCCAGAGCTAATTTGACCACAAAACATAGCAAAAAGGATATGTCTAATCAAGGCTAGGATCCACAGCGTCGTTTCTCTCAACATCCGGGTTCAATAGCCTACGGGCCACATCCATGCAAAGCATCTCTGCAAGTGGGTCAAGGCGAGTCGGTGAGCCGGCTTGACATGATATATATAAATATATACATACACAATAGCAGAATATCCGCATCTACAATAATACATGTATATATATATATTGTATTCAATATATTTCAATATAATATGTATGTGTGCGTGTCGGTAAAAAAATGTATGTGTGTGCGCATGCATCTATGCATTCATGTGAATTAGGCCAGCCGTGCCCTGATACTGGGTGCAATGCATGTAGGTTTGGGTCAGTCAACTGGCAAGAGTTCAAGCAGCCATTGGTTCTTTTACATCTTGAGCCAAAGTACTGGCGATGTTATACACTGTAAGTGTCGGTCCCTTGGCCCTTAACATGCCTGTATACATGATGCAGCACCGTCGAGGTATTATTCGTACCGTCTTGAATGGCTCACTAGGAGAAAAAAAAACTGCAGTCTTCGAATGTTTCGTATGGCTACAATTCGTCACCTGTACAGTCCAAAAGCACTACTACGGACACTTCAGCTATAGGAAAATAGGACACTAAGATCCCCAGTCGCCTAAGCAGAATTTCCCTGTCAGCCATGGCCTCTAGGAGATCCTAGGCACCAAGGCACTTTTCGAAAAGAAGTCGTGTTTTTGAATTTCCAGGCATATATGACGTGAGCCTTAAAACCTATGCCGTCGCAACAGCATCTACAATCGGGCTACACTACACTCAGATTCCTCTCAGAAGACGTTGATGTCAAGTAGAGAACATGCTAAGTGCAGAATGTAGGCAAAGTTGAGGTTCGTTCGAGGAAGTTCTCCTCAATCATTTTGGTATAGGAAATAAAGTAGCGCCATAACCCTGATATTCTTCCTCATCATAAGCTGGCTCGTTGCGCCCCCCATGATGGAATATTATCACGCTGTTTCTTCGACTTCTCGATTCTCTGTAATAGGTCTCGGGAATTTCATGGGGTAGGTCACCACCATGGAGCAGGATTGCCTGGGCCATTCAAGTTGAAGTTCGAAGCATGTGGGCCATCAGTAAGTGAGCAAACGAAGTTCACCCCACTCAGCAGCAGTGCCACACTGTAGTCGTGATCGTAGTAGTCTTTGCTGCTGTAGATCTGCGTCTCGATCCCTGTTGGTGTAGTGGCAGTTACCCAGTCTGGCGGATGATCTGGTTGCTTGGGTCCAGCGGTTGGAGGAGCCCCTTTTGGCGAAATCAGTGGTGTTGGCTTCTTCTTCACCTGTGGCTTCATGAAGGTGCGGTCCAATGCAGCCTGCGAAGCACTGCCAGCATCCTCTTTTGTGATCGGTGGTGGGTCTCTCCCATCATCCATCATCAGGGGGACGTTCCAGTCATGTAACCGATGGAGTGCCGCTGAGCTCGCTCCGCCTTGGGTCTCCGTCTTCTTGATCAAGAATTCATTGAAGACTTGAAAAGCTTCGTGTCTTGCTTTCACACCATGATATTGACCCATCTCGGCCTGGAATACACTGTAGCCAGTCCCTTTGTATGTCATCTGTCAAATCGCTGGTAGATCTCTGACAATCTGACCGGCATGTTGTTGACATTCTCGTCTCAATGTCCTTCATCAACCTGTATCCATGGACGGATTTCTCCGAGGTGGTCGACAAGGCAATCATGGACAATGATCTCCTGGATAATGACTCGGTTTCTGGGTTTGTCGACCGTTGCGCCTTAGTGCAATGCCAAGGCATCGTGAATCACTGTCTAGCTTCCTGAACTGCACCTCAATCGTGTTAGGGTCATAAAGTCCAATGGTGCCATCAGGTCCGGCCGGGACGTAATGCATATCGTTCTGCATTACTTCTGCAAATTGCCGAGGTCTCGTGCTCATAATCCATGAGTTCGACGGCTGAGTGGTGGAGAAAAAAACAATTTCTGGCCAACTACGTGCTTTTTCCAACATTGCTTTCGCGGCTTCACCCGCTTTCTTGTCTGAGGAGAATGGATTCGGGCGGTAGTGGTTCTCTAGGAGGTTATATACACATGTCGTCTCAGTTGTTGTGGGTATCCTGTGAGCAAGACACCTGTAGATCCTGTAGGTTGTTGTCATCGTAGCTGTAGCTTTTCCAAAGCTTGATGAATCCAAACCCTTTCTCCAGCACGTCTATGCTCCCCAACAATCTCTCTTCAGGCTTGAGCATCGAAAAGAGCCAAGCCATGAGTCTGATAATGTGGGTAGTCTCATGTTCTTCAAACCTCAATGACATGAGCATTGCTGAGTTCACCTCTTTCTCTGTCATTGGATTCTCCAACTTCCGAATGATGGTAGTTCAAATTTTCTGGGAGGTACCCATGTTGTGGGGTTGTCACGGTGCGATTTCAGAATTCCCATGCCCAGTTTCACCAGTCCCTTGTCGAAGATGCTCGGGTTTCCGCCAGTTCCAGTAGTAGACGAAGCCATGATCCAGCCAATGTCACTAATTGAGTGAGCAACGGCCTTCACAAAGACCACCGCCACGACGTAGGAAAACACGAGGATGCCAAAGCAGGCGCACAAGAAGCCGCTGCCACACGACGCCTAAGGCAACCGCAGTAGCTGGGAGAGTGCAACCTACAGAATGGACAGTGCGGGACCCGTGACTTCTTGGGCTCTCTGAATCACTTGACATTTGTTGTTTGAGGATGTTTGAGGATGTCTTTCACCTCACCGCTCAGTGAACGTGAACACATCTGCCAAAAATTGTCAATGATGTGTTGATTGATTCCCTTCATGATGATTTTAACTATCCATTTCGTGTAAGTTTGAATGAGCTTCGTTTCTCGACCGGCGCGCTCAGTATGATTGTGTTTCCGATTGCACTTCCTTCTCAGCTTGGCCCCATGACACAATTCTAAACGGTTTCTTGATAGGATCGTGTTCCGTGCCATGTTTCGATTTTAGATCGTACATGCATCCATCAAAGTCATGCACATTGCTGTCTGTTCCCTCAACGACTGACGTGACCCTGCTGTCCTTCCAGTATTCGCATCCCCTAGGCAATTCCATAAGGGCAGGTGATCCACGGCTGATTGGGTCACAAAGTTCTTCGACAAACTCCTCCCGGAGGCTCCAAAAGATCTTCTTCTTTGCCTCGGTAAGGTGGGCCGTCTTGTCGCTGAACCATCTATTTAGACGATTCCAGGGAGATCCTCCAGTGCAGGGACCTGCGAAGAACGAGGAGTCTAGTTTCGATCTCAAACATTACTCACAGTGGCTCGACCGTAAGGAGATAAAAGATCATCATCCTCTGTGATAGATACCGCATGGAAAAGATTCCCTTCCATTGTTCCCTGTAGGGACGTGAACCTATTCAACCTATTCATTGCTTCTGCACATAAAGAGTACGAAACATGGTTTGTTCTTGGGAAGCTCATACAAATCAATCACCAAGCTCTTCATCTTGAATTTTGAAAATGCATAGTCAAACATAGATCTTCGAAACTTGAACGTAATAGCCCTCTCTGATTGTTGCGATGTAAGTTCATCTGGAGTGTTGTAAAGCAACATCGTCCAAGATTTTGATGTTGTATGCAAATGGCAAAAAAATATCGCCCAGCCCAGAGCATTCATCCCATCACAATATTTGCAGAGTGTTGCAGCCCTGGGTTTCGGCTCGTGATCTCTTGTACCCTCATGAGCGAACCCATCATACCCAGTTTTGTATGGTCCTGCCAAATCTAGCGATAAGACTCCAAGTTGAGGATGACGACAGCGCCTGTGGGGTTTGGACTGGGCAATCGCTTGCTGACACAGGAAACAATCGCGACTGCGCCGGTAATGGTCTTGCAACACATGCTGCCTCCACAGTGCTTTAGGGCCCCCGACTGCTTTCACTGCCGGGAAACGATCCAAACACCAAAACTCATCCCAAAGTGCTTGACGCTGTTTGAACGCGCGACAGATACTGGACAACTGTTCCCATTCCCCGCGAAAAATTTGCATGTCTCACCATAAGGACACTTCCCCTTACCATGCACATAGCATATCTTCTTATTACCATTCTTGTCCACTGGTGCAGGGCTCTCAGAGCGTTGCGGTTTGGGCGGAGCAGGAGAAGGCTTTGGTTTTGCCTTGGGTTTCGGATCTTCTTCGGTAGCTGGAGTAGCCTTTGGGTTGCCAATAGCATTTATAACTGCTCTCTCCTTGTCTGTGATCAACCTGTCCTCCAATCTCTTCCTCACATGCTTCTTCATCACGTTCAGGAGACATTGATAGGATCTGTCCTCATCACCCTCAATAGCCGACTCATATCTTGACAAATCAAATTTCATAAGCTGTGATCCTTCCAACTTTCGGTATAAGGTTTCCTCCAACAGTTTGTCATTGGGCCTGTTGGATGCTTCCATGTGGTTCATGACATCAACTCAGATATTGTAGCAGTTTGTCAGGTTGTTGTCTCCACCATACTTCATAATATATACGTGGTAGAAAGTGTGAGCTGATTCAACTTGAGAAGTTGTCCTGAAGTTGTCAACGGCCAACGCCAAAATCTCCCGTCCCCGTGTGAAAGAAAAGTCTTTCCCTTTCTCCTGCATTCTCTGCCGGAGCCTTGCTTTCACATCGGCACACTGTTCCCTGGAATTCTGGACCATGTTGAACAAAACCAAACTCAATTTCGAATCAATAGATTGAAACTGGGAGGCGTCTGCTTACCCAGTTCATCCAGGTCAGGCTTGAGAGTCATAGTAGGTTTCAACCGTTCTTCCCACTCATCAAAATCATTATCACCTGATGCGATGCATATGTTCTGGATAACTAAGGGCTTCCAAGCCAAAATCTCTTCCACCTTGGGCCATGGAGGCACAGTGACCTTTTCAAGCTCTTTCCTGGAGATACGAGAGGGGGATCTGTTCTCGAGCTCATTCAACTCCTCACTTGTTCATTGTATTCGTTCCTAATCCTCTCACATGCCTCCGATTCAGCCTTACAGGCCTCTTCCTCCTCCGTTAGGTGATCCTCATGTTGGTTGAAGTATGACTTGTACTTGTCCTTCTTTCTCTCCATCTCCTTGAGTTCTCCCCTCAATTCATCTACTACTGACGAATGGGGTGATTTAATGTTCTCAATGGTCGAATCTCTGACTTTCTTCATCTCCTCAATCTTCTGTTCTAACAACATGTGTCGATCACTCTCTTTCTCAAGGATTCCGACTCCTTTCCCAGATGCCTTGGAGCGTGCCTTGTTCTCATCGGTCAGCGACAGGATCGCACTTCCATGAGATCCTTGGGCAGCGAGTTCGGATGCTTCACCTTTGAGCTGGCGGACTTGGGCTTGTAGGGAGGACCTCTTGGTTCATGTCAGGATTTCTGATTGCTAATCTTGACTCACTTGCCAAAAGTGGTTGTCTCAACAAGCTGTTTTCTTGACGACTGTGAGTGCAAGATGGAGTTCATAGCTCCTAATCAACTGTCTTTCATCCTAATCTCACTCCTCATGCGTGTTACCATCTGGTCACGATGTGCACTGGCCTCGGTTTTGTCCTCGAAATCTTGACATCGTTGTGCGAGACTCTGGCATCTCTGGCTCAGGCTCCGGTTTATTGGCACGTTCCAGAGCTAATTCATGATCATGGGCTTCACATCTAGTTTGTACTTCAGAGACTTCAACACTATATCATATCGATGTGACATTTCATTCATCTCTGCAACACCAGTTTCACTTTGATTATTGACCCCAATGGGCTCCGTTTCTAGTCGTTTTCTTTTGACCTCAGCCTTGGCTTGGAAGCCAGCCACTCTTTGTTCTTGAAGTTTTACATGAAGCTGATTCACGCTCTCATTCTCCTGAACGGCCATGTTCGCTTCGTGCTGGGCCATGCTCTCCAGGTAGTTGTAGCTTTCGATCTCCTGCGTCAGTCGATTGTGAGCCACACTCAGTTGTTTTCGAAGATCGTCTACAGCGGCAGATGCCTGAGATCCGATTAACCCAGCTTTGCAACCCAACAGCATACCTGAATCTTCCACCTACGTCTTTTTTCAGACCCTGTGCCAAAGTCCTGTTTTTTCAGTACCCAGAAAACTTTTCAGGACCTACTCTCAAATTCAGGACCTGGCCATTTTGGGGTATCAATGGTAATGGCAATCATTGGGTGCAAACATGTGAAACCAACATTTGGTGGATATTCAAGCCATTGGTATTGATCCACGCAAATAAAAGCACTCCCAGCCCAAACTCATGGCAAGGCAGGATCAGAATATAGTATATTCCAGAAAGTATGTCAGAATAGATGCCAGATAGGATGCCAGAAAGAATGTCAAATAGAATCCCAGAAAAGAATGTAAGATAGTATGTCAGAGCATATATGCCACATATACGTCCAGATAATATATCAGAAACTATGTCAGAATAGTGTGTTAGGGTGGGGATCACTCTTAGTAAGGCAATTTTGAAAATATATTTCAGGTTCGGAATTTTCAAACTGTTGTCCTTCAGGCGCCGAAGCTCCCGTTGAAGGTCAGCATCGCCCCATGTCAACTGGTCCAGTCCCACTTCCATTTCAACAAGTCCAACTTCATCGATTAGGGTGTTGGTTGAATGGACTTGGGACTCTAGCTGGCACGGCATCCCTTGTAACCCTGTAGACACTGTAGTGGGCAAAAAGATTGTAACACACAGAATCAGCATCATTTTGATCAGGCATTCATTTTGCTAATCATTTCTCCCTGTTACGAAAAATACCCCCAAATGACAAAAACTAGGTGCGATTTCCAATTTTGGGAAATGTCAAATTGGTTAATCTGATTTTTAATTAATCCCCTTGAGGAAACAATTTTAAAAATGAAGGTACCATGTGAGGGTTTCACCCCAAAGAATAAAAAACTAGTCAACACTGGGGTGTCTTTTATTGGGGTCCGTCCTTTAAAATCGTCAATTTTAGTTTTTTTTAATTCAGGTGTTGGTGCTTTATTTGATACTAGGCGAAAGCTTCGAAATCCTATTCTTGGCAATATTCTATTTAAAGATTATTTTCATGGATTTTGAAATTAGAAACAAAAAACGGTTTAATCCCTTCCCCCTGTTGCTAAACAGTCGCCCCTTCACCCACCCACCCAAATAACAAACACCTGGAGGAGTTTTTAGTATTGGGGGGGTCTTTAGTATTAGGGTACGAAGCTTCCCCCTAATACTGATAAAAAAAACACACACACATATATATATATATATACACATATTTCTATTTCAAAATCGATCAGATTTCTTTCTTTTTAAATCCAATTAAAATATGGCAAACAAGTGGATTCCGAAGCTTAATATCAAATAAAAACCCCCAGCATAAAAAACTATGTATATTTTTCTATTTCGAAATCGATTAGATTTCCTTTTAAAAATTAAATAAAATATGGCCAAAAAATTGGATGTCGAAGCTTTTCCGTTATATTAAACCCTAATATCATTTTGTTTTTTTTCCTGTTTCAAAATCGATTAGATTTCCTTTTGAAATCTAATGAAAAAAACAAAAAAATAATTTTGAAGCTTTCCCCTAATATCAAATTAAAATCCAATTATTAAAATATGTTCAAAAATTGGATTTCGATACTTCCCCTAATCTTGCATGAAAAAATCCAATATAAAAAACTAAATTTGTTCTATTTCAGAATCGATTAGATTTCCTTGTAAATTCAAATTAAGATATTGCCAGAAATTGGATTTCGAAACTTTCCCCTCATATTAAACCCTCATATCAAAGACTATTTTTTCTATATCAAAATTCATTAGATTTCCTTTTGAAATCTAATTAGAATATGGTCAAAAATTGGATTTTGAAGTTTTCCCCTAATATTACATTAAAAAACCCTAATATAAAATATTATTTTTTCTTTTTTGAAATCGATTCGATTTCCTTTTAAATTGTAGTAACAAAAATAAAAACAAAAACCGGATTTCGAAATGTTTCCTCTAATATTAAATTACCAGCCCTAATATATTTTAAAAAAAACTGTTTCAAAATCGATTAGTTTTCTGTTTAACATATAATTAAGATATTGCTAAAAATTGGATTTCGAAGTTTTCCCCTAAGATTAAATTAAAAACACTAATAAAAAAAACTATGTTTTTTCGATTTCAAGAATCGATTAGATTTCCTTTTGACATCCAGCAAAAATATTGCCAGGAAATGCCAAAAAGTGGATTTCGAAGTTTTCCCCCAATATTATATAAACGTTGTAATATAAAATACTTTTTTTTTCGACCTTAAAAGACCCTAGTTTAAAAAATCACCGGGGCTGACTAGTTTTTATTTTTTGGTGGTGAAATCCTGAAATGGGACCTTCATGTTTAATTTGTTTTTGAAAAGGTATCAATTAAAAGTCAAATTGGCCAGCCTGAAATTTCCCAAAATTTAACGCGGACCCTAGTAAAAGGAATCAATGTAATATTTTAGTATTCAGGGTACCTTTAATAAAAGGAGGTGGGGATTAGTAAGGTTTTCAATTTAATATGAGGGGAAGCTTCGAAATCCAATTTGGCAAGATTTGAGTTAGATTTTGAACAGGAATTCAATCGGTTTTGAAATATAAAGTTCATTTTTGTAAACGAATGTTTTCAATTTAATGTCAGGGGGAAGCTTCGGAATCCAAGTTTGGTAATATTTTAGTTAGATGTTATTTTAAAAATGTTTTCCAATTTAGTTTTTTTTAACCAAGGGGGAAGTTTCGCACTCTCATACTTAATACCCCCTAAATACAAAAAACTATTCCGTGTCTTCATTCTTGGGTGGGGAGGGGCAGACGGTTTATTATGACGCAGGGATTGGTCAGGCATCACTTGCTAGAATTATTGGATTCTTTTGGGATGATTTCATACTTTAGTGGCATCCTCCAAATTCATTAGTCAGCCTTTGTTAATCCAGGGCCCATTTTACACATGTCATCTTCTTGGTCGTGGCGCCATTTCAGGATCACACTGATGACCTAAGCTTTGGCCTTAACTATTATGCAGGCAAGCGACATCAGCACGCTATGGTATTGGAAGACACAGGGTTTGCCCGTAGACCAGCCAAAAAATCGATTTTCCACACTGAACAATTGGATTTAACACATTTAGAATAGGAGCTCCGCCTGATTCAGATTTCATCACTTAAAAGGTACCCATGCCTGACTAGCCTTCATAATTAAGAGGTACCCACCCACGCCTGATCTAACAAAACCCATGCCTGACTAGCCTTCATAATTAAAAGGTACCCATGCCCCTGAATTCAGGGAACCATGCCTGACTAGGCTTCACAATTAAAAGGTACCCACTGGAACCATGCCTGACTAGCCTTAATGACTTAAAAGGGTAACTACACCTGACTTAATACCTGATTTACTGGTTTTGCCTGATTTTGGAAAAATGCAGAGCCGGAATTTGCCGGGCTGGGATTTTGGGGTCGTGCCTAAATAGGATTTTTGCAAAAATCGTGCATGACTGAAGGGAACCATGCCTGACTAAATATCATACCCATGTAATCACTTTTGAGGAGCACTCTATGGCACGCAGCGCGCGCAGCCTGCTTTACGGTTAAGCGTTTGAAAGTTTTAGGCTTTGCCTCTATGGCACGCAGCGTTTGAAAGTTTAACCGTTTACCTCTATGGCAGGCTGTGCGCGCAGTACGCGTAGTACGCGTTACGGTTTAAAGTTTGAAAGGTTTAGGGTTTATGTGTGTGGCACGCAGTGCGCGCAGCGCGCATGAGGGTTCAGGGTTTGGAAGTTTTATAGTTTATTTTATTGCATGCAGCGTGCACAGCGTGGGTTGAACTTTAGGGTTTCGAAGTTTAGGGTTACCTCCATGACACGATGGTTTAGGGTTTGGAGATTTTAAGGGGTACTTCTATGGCACACAGCGCGCGCAGCGCGCGTTAGGGTTTAGGGTTTAGGGTTTGCAAATTTTAGGGTTTACCTCTATGACACGAGAGTTTCAGGTTTCAAGATTTTAGGGTTTATTTCTATTGCACAAAGCGCGCGCATTTGAAGGTTTTAGGGTTTATCTCTGGCACGCAGCGCGCACAGCGCGCATTAGGGTTTAGGGTTTGGAAGTTTTAGGGTTTATTTTATTGCATGCAGCGCGCACACCGCGGGTTAAACTTTAGGGTTTGGAAGTTGCATAACACGATGGTTTAGGGTTTGGAAATTTTAGGGTTTACTTCTCTGGGACACAGCGCGCGCACCGCGCATTAGGGTTTAGGGTTTGGAAGTTTTAGGGTTTGCTTTATTGCATGCAGCGCGCGCAGCGCGCATAGAGTTTAGGGTTTGGAAGTTTTAGGGTTTCAAGGGTTCCAAGGTTCCAGGGTACCAGGGTCCCACGGTTTCAGGGTTCCAAGGTTTCCAGGGTTCCAAGGGTTCCAGGGTTTCAGGGTTCCAGGATCCCAGCAGGGTGCCAGGTGTGCAGGGTTGCAGGGTTCCAAGGTTCCAGGGTTCCAAGGTAGCAGGGTTCCAGAATCCTTGAGGGTTCCTGGGTGCCAAGGTTCCAAGGTTTCAGGGTTCCACGGTCGCAGGGTTCCAAGGTTCCAGGGTTTCAGGGTTCCAGGGTTCCGGGGTTCCAGGGTTCCAGGGTTCCAGGGTTCCGGGGTTCCAAGGTTTCAGGGTTCCAGGGTACCAGGGTCCCACGGTTTCAGGGTTCCAAGGTTTCCAGGGTTCCAAGCATTCCAAGGGTTCCAGGGTTTCAGGGTTCCAGGATCCCAGCAGGGTGCCAGGTGTGCAGGGTTGCAGGGTTCCAAGGTTCCAGGGTTCCAAGGTTGCAGGGTTCCAGAATCCTTGAGGGTTCCAGGGTGCCAAGGTTCCAAGGTTTCAGGGTTCCACGGTCGCAGGGTTCCAAGGTTCCAGGGTTTCAGGGTTCCAGGGTTCCGGGGTTCCAGGGTTCCAGGGTTCCAGGGTTCCGGGGTTCCAAGGTTTCAGGGTTCCAGGGTTCCAGGGTTCCGGGGTTCCAAGGTTTCAGGGTTCCAGGGTTCCAGGGTTCCAGGGTTCCATTCCGGATTTTGAAGGCTGCAAGTCCCCGCGAGCCAGCCCCAGCCCTAGAGATTGAAACCCAACAGGCCCTGCTGTTGGGAATATGATCCGATGGTCTGGACGATATTCTGGGCATAAACCATCTGTTCTTCATGTTCAATTTGCAAAATCTGATACCTCATGTTGGTGTGCGTAGCAACTTCCTCAGACAGATCTCTGAATCGGTCCAGTTCCTCAATTCGATACGACGACCCCTCGTCTTCCTGTCTTGATTCTTGGAATTCAGAGTATATAGTCTTAAGACGTGCGTTAAATTCATAATGTGCAGCAATCTCAACCTTCATGGCGTTCTCTTCGCTCGATCTCCAGACATTGAGGCATCGTAGCTCTTCCCTCCTGACGGAGTCTTCAGACTTATAAAGCGATGCACGGAGTTGTCTGATCTGTTCCTTGAGCACAGCGTTCTCTTCCAGTTCAGTGGTGGTCCAAAATGGAGCCGGCCAACCTCTGTAGTCGGAGGCGCCAATGCTTCCGATGGTGTCTTCGATTGAATTGGTGAATTTGTTCTGGATGGCCAAGGTGACACATGCCCTCGTGCCTTCTTCTTCGGAGTGACACGAGGTGTGTCCGATTTGGTCTTCCCAGATGACCTATCCGCATCCATTAACTTTAAGCCTTTGGGGCGGCAGGATTCGTAAAAGAAAATGAGGATGCACTATCGTCGGTCATCAGTTCGGTCTCAACCAGCTCAGTGTCGAAGAGCGCTTACAGCTGATAACCTGTGAATCAGGTCAGCCGTGCCCTGATACTGGGTGCAATGTAGATTTGGGTCAGTCAACCGGCAAAAGTTCAAGCAGCCATTGCTTCTCTTACATGATCCGCTGCAGTCATCTTGGGCCAAAGTACCGACGATGTTATACACTGTAAGTGTCGGTCCCTTGGCCCTTAACATAGCTGTATACATGATGCAGTACCGTCGAGGTATTATTCACAATCCATGCATCTATGCCATCTATCCATCTATCTCTCTATGCGTCTATGGCATCTATCCATCTATGCATCTATAACCCCTATGCATCTTTACGTCTATGCATCGATGCATCTATGCATCTTTCCATCTATGCACCTATGTATCTATGCATCTATCTATCTATGCATCCATTTGTCTATGTATCCATGCATTTATGTAATGTATCTATTCATCTAATTATGTATCTATTTATCTATTCGTCTATCCATCCATGCATCTATGCATCAATCCAGCTATGCATCTACAATACGTATCTATGCGTATATTTGTGTTTGGGTCCAAAAGGTCCAAACATGACCCAAGAACAAAGAATCCTACGCAGCTGCAACTTGCGCCGCGGCCTTGCATCCAACGAGTTCTGAACGACAGTTCCCCATACCCACAGGAGCACGGCAAAAATCGTCTGCACG